CGTTAGAGTGACGCAATTCTTACGATTCCCGATTCCAAGGTGTGTGTATCGTGTACCCGTCCGGGGCCGGGTCAACCGACACCATCATCATCGGCTATCTGGCTCGTAAAAAACGAGAGAAATAAAGAAAGAACGAAAGAAAGAAAGAAAGAAAGAAAGGGACGGGAGAGGGGGAGACAGAGAACGAAAGAAAGAGAGGAGAAAAAAACCGTAGGATCGGGTCGAAACGTAGCGGACTTTCCCAGATTTGTAGCCGCTTCTTCGCCGGCATTATCTCGATAAAATGAAATCGGTCGTTAAACGAGGAAGCGAGAGACAGAGCGAGAGGGGAGACGCGACCACAAAAAGCACCGGGCTCCGCAGGATTCATAGGGTCATGGGCGTTGGGTGGGGACTCGAAACGAAACGAAAAAGCAAGCCAGAGGTCGGCGAGGGCGGGGACGAGAGGGGAGGGATCGAGAGCAGGAGGAGAAGAAACGTTTTACGTTCGAAACCAGTTTCTATGGTTTAATTTTTACGGGTGGACATCTTCTTTAATTTATGGCGCCGTCCAACCCCGTCCTTCCTGCCCTCCTACTCTGCTCTGCGGACGCCTTTCGACATTTTATTGGGTCGACCAGTTTCTCTAACTCGTTGGAATCCGCTCGGCATCGGAAACGCTTGGAAATTGGACGCGATCGAATCGAGAGGGGTATCCGCACCTTTACCCCCGATTCCCGGCTCTAAAATTCTCTCCGCTCGGCCTCGCGATTAGCCCGGGATGTCTAATTGTACCCGTGTGATTTCGCAAGGTCGATCTTCGTTCCCAGCAGCCACCGATATGGAAGCGACAACATCGAAGACGGTTCCGCGCCTCCGTCCGTCTCGAGTAAACCCCCCTCCCTCTCGCGCGTGTTTATCGGATCTGTACGTTAATTGAACCAGCGAGCAGGTAATAGCTATCATTACGAGCGCTTACGTCTTTCAGGCCAGCAACTAAATTATATGGGCGAGCCACTCCGCCTGGTCGATGCGTCTCGGACTTAGGCGTGCGCGTGCAGACTGTTGTCGGGACTCGGATCTATGTATTCCGGAGAATTTGGTTCCGAGACGTTGAGAAACGGAAAAGCAGGAGGACCAATGTGGTAAGAAGATGCTGGGCGTCGAGGCTTGATTGAAATTTAAGTGTCCGGACGATGCATCGATGGGGTACGATCTTATCGACGTAGAATCTATACGCTACTTTTTAGGCTCGTTTATAGGCTCGACAACAAATTATTCTGTGAACAAGCAGATGCAAGCAATTACGAGAGTTATTCCACATAGTGGTTTTAGGAAATCATTCCTTCAATATTCTTGCTTCGTATGATAAATCTGCATCGCGTTCTTCGGGTAAAAAACGTGCCTCGTAAAGTAAGTAGTACATAAGAACACCTTGACTCGGTTAAGGTTGAACTAGGTTTGGGGCACAGAGTACGGTGTTCGTAAGAAAGTATTCGTACAATTTTTAAAACGATATAACTTTTTTCGAATTGGGCCGAGCGGTCTAAATTTTGTTTAAACCATTACAGGGGCTATTTTACTAGACAATGGCGAGAATGGCAGTTCATCACGGATTTCAACCAAAAATAGGTAATTTTTAAGATTTTAAATTTTTTAAATTTTACATTTTTATATTTTTTAATTTTTTAATTTTTACATTTTTACATTTTTACTGTAGCTCGCAGCTGTACTAAAAAATGCATTTTTTAAATTTTCGTGATGCGCTAACCGATTGCAATTTTCGAACACAAGTATTTTGCCATTGCCTGGTAGACTAATTCTAACAGCTTAAAAAAAATTCATACCGTTTACTTATTGTTTCACCCTCCCGGAGTAGACCGCCACCATTCAGCCCCTCTATCTAGCCTACCCCAGGGCTTCTCCCTCCACTTAGGGTATTCGAAAGTGGGTCATAGCGTCTTAGCAGTCCAGTTGGTCGCAAGAGACCTGCGAGAGCACAACGTGAAGGTACTGGACGATTTCGCCGACTGCACAACCGGTGACATAGTTTTGCAAAAACTCATTGACCATCTCCTATGCTCGTCGGAGCCACCGCCGCAATCCGTGCACACTGCTCAGGCCTCCAACAGCTACATCACCACCGACGATGGTTTTGGATGCGTCATGGCGCGCCGTGGGCCGGAAAGAAGATTTTGGTGACCTCTTTACAAAAACCTAATTTTTTCATATCGATCTCCAGTCAATTTTTATTGCTTGTTAAATGTCCAGTACCCCCGAAAGTGTAAATATTAATGAAAATGATCATAAATTGTAATAGATTTCGACAAATTAAATTATGCTTCTTTTCCATGCAATGTCCTGAGGGACCTAATTAATTTTTTCCTTTGCTTTTTTTTACATTAGAAGACAATATTTCTCGTTAGGAAACAGTAGCTTAAATTAAAATTATTGTATCCTATATATAAAAAAATATAATATTCAATAAAATACAAAAAGTATAAAAATTCTTTACATTTGACAAGGAATATATTTTGACGCCCAAGGAATCACAGTTTCGGACAAACGGTATATTTTCAGAATACTTTCCTCTACATAACTCCGTAAAAGTTACATACCAAGACGAACCAGATTGCAAATTATTACTTTTTAAAGATATCAGCGTTACGTTACTTCGAGGTTAGAGCAACCATAGATAATCTCTCAGTGTTTCAATCGGTATTACAGACCGCTTCTTTGTCTGTAAATCGACAGATATTTACAATCGTAAATTATTCCATACAACATGAAATATATAAATAAACGAAACAAACTAGTAACTTGCTAAAAATCGCAGGTATATTGACTATAAAAGGCGGTATCCTTATGCTGAGGCGGGGATTTGCAATGCGTCACACTGGTATCTGCAACGCCTTTTTTAGCTACTAATAGAAAAATGAAGGACATATAACCCAGAGCCATAGTTCAGAATACTATAAATGTTTATACGTTTATACGCTTATAGTTTTACAAAAAGAAAACGTTACACAAAAATGCTAGAGAAACAGATTATATGTTTCGAATTAAGTAAGTCCTGAAACAATAACAAAATGGTAAGATTAATTAACATACTGTCAAAACATCGCATTATTTATTTACAGTATGTCCCAAAATTATGGCACTTCTGGAAAATGGGGAGTCCCTGAGGTCATTTGAAGTAACTTTTTCCTTAGCGCAAATGCTATCCGCGGCTTCGTTTACGAGTTATTAACGAAAAATACTGACCAATGAGAGACGAGATCAGTTGGCGCGAGGCGGCCGAGCCAATGTGCGCTCGTTGGCTTAGCCGCCGCGCGCCAGCCAAGCTTCTCGCCTCTCATTGGTCACTGTTCTTCTTTAATAACTCGTTGACGAAGCCACGGATTGCATTTGCGCTAAGGAAAAAGTTACTTCGAATGACTCAGGGAACCATAATTAAGTAGCATAATTTTGGGACATACTGTATAAACTCGAAATCTCCGCTGAACTATTTCTTGCTCGTGTCACACAGGCTTGTGTATAAAAACGCTGGCGCGATGCTAGTTTTTGTACACAGCGTCTAGGTCAGCTGATGGTGCTCGATGCTTACCCAGGTGAACGACCGGCAGTAAAATACACCGAACGGCCGCATGTTTATACTGTCACAGTGTACAATAAAGTACAATAAATACCTGTAAACAGAAATGGACAATTTGTGGTCAGTTATACTTGTTGACAATGGGCGACTATAAAAGCAGTACACGAGGCTCGAATAATCGTACCTCTCGTTCTAAAATTTTCTTTTCATTCTGTGGTACAACTAGAGGGAATTTATTGTACCTATTGTCTGGGTCGTCCTTCCAATAAACCTAATACCACATCCATTTTCTATTGTTTCTCGTGCAGCATCGTTCGTTAGGGCATTGCTCTACTTCGCGGTAGCTAATGACCGGTGCTGCCTAGTCTTTCCAGTATTCAAAAATTTTAATCCAATGACGAGCAGATTGAGTTCCATAAAATATCTGAACTCGATCTCGATATCTCGGAATTCTTCGAAATGAACTTTTTGATTTATAACAGTTCTTCGAATACTCCTAACAAAGTCTAAAACACAGTCGAACCTTCACCAAATGTTTCATGAAATATTCGAAACTTTGTCTCCGAAGGTCAAATCAAATGGACATCGTCCACATAACGATCATTCAGATCGAATTCACCATTTTGCGACGAACACAAAATAGCAGAATACTTTCAACCCTTTCAAAATCGTATCTCCGTTGTTAATCTTCGCCTGAAAATGAACATCGAACGATTTCAAGCATTCAAAGGGTTGTAAAGTAGGATCTTCCAACAACTCCAACCAAAATTTCGAACGCGTTCGGATCTCATGAGTCCCCAACGAAGGAGAGCGGGAAAACAATAGAACCAGAGATAAACAGAGGATCGCATGTGCCCACTCCTTCAGGCGAATCTGCTTCCTCCCGGGGCAGATAGGCGATCGAACCTCGAGCGGCGACCGAATCCCCACGGGGCCCTCGCTGGAACAGTACACGAGGATCGGTAGACACTGCGGAGTGGAGAATCGAGAAATCTGAAGGAGTAGGGGGCAGTTGGGTGGCCGTCGTTCCGGGACCGAGTCGCTCGTGATTGGCAGAGCAGCGGGGCCCGATCGAGTCCCATTGGTCGCCGAGTGAATGGGCGTATACCGATGGGCAGGTACGGGTTGCTCCCTGCCAGCGGTGGACAATCGGATCCCGTTGGTACGCCGTGGCTCTCTTTAGGCGCCTTCGATGCAGTCGAACAGGTCGTAGCGATCGCGAAGCGCCAGTCCTCTCCCGTCCATCGACGTGGCCGCACCGTGACTCGTGGATGTTCGAGAGAGGCGGACAGACAAGTAGATAGACAGTTGGTTAGTCAGTCGGAGGTCGAGGAAAAATTTCATCGAGGATCGAGGACGACAAGAGGTGGAGAGAGAGAGAAAGAGAGGGAGCGAGAGAGAAGAAGAAGAAGAAGAGGAGGAGGAGGAGGAGAAGGAAGAGAGATAGAGATACATAGATAGATAGATAGATACATAGATACATACATAGATAGATAGATAGTTCGGTAGACAGACGGAAGGTGGAGAGGAGAGCAGGAATCGGCACTCGCTTGGATCGTCCCAGTGACCAGAGGCACTCGGGGCCACTTTTCGGATCCGCATCGTGGGGAACGGTCAACCATTCGCGCGTCCTTCGAGGGGTTGCGAACGAGGCCCAGTCGAGACCGAGGTGGACGATATCATCTGTGGCTGCGGTATACTCCAGGGTGTGCACGAGGTCCCGGTCTATCACGCCACGTGACCGCGCAACAGGACTTAAGCTATTCGAACAGTGTGTGCCGGGAATATCGAACGATTCTTACGATCAAAGTTTTTGCTCGCCGAGGTAGCAGAAACGCTCGGACATGATGTGTAACGTGTGACAGAGGACTTGGTTCCGAGGAAGACTGTTATTAAGTTTGTGGTGCGGACGGACACCGGTTGGCCAGTTTCATTTGGATATCGTCAAACTGCGAAGGTGAGTGAAACAGTTCTCATTCGATCCGACGACGTCTGCTATATGCGGGCGTCGACGTCTCCGGTCCCGCGCGATAACGCGACTAAGACGCGTCCGAATCGTCGAACGAACATCCCAACCCAGTGTCATTGACCCCTTCGTTCGACGTGCACCTATCCACCGGTCAGTGTCCCATGACGCAAGTGAACGAAAGCGACGGAGATTCTGGTCACAATGCACGGGCACCGTGCGCGTGAAAGGCGGCAAAGGGATGAAAAAGGCCGGCTAATGATGCTTAGAAAAACCGGGGAATAAATCACTCGCGTTCAGCCGGTGATCAACGGCGTTTCGTCAATCTTACGGCCCGTTCACCGCCCCATTTATCCCTCGTAAGTTAATGTCTACACCCGAAGTGTCCGCGTTTTGCTCGCGATTAGACAGCGCCGTGAAATTGATAATGCGTCCGTAATTGCGGCGCGGGCCCCGTTGGCCCGTTAAAAATGGCCCGCCGGCCGGGGATTTCGATCGGAGAACATAACCCGCGCGCGCCGGTTGGAAAGTTCTTATCGAACACGACGAATTCTCTGTCACCGTGCATTCTTCGGCTTCGTCCGGCGCGATTAGCAATTCGAACGGTCTCGCGAGACCGGCGTTTCCATTATACGGTTAACAAGGTATTAGCTTTTTGCGTGGAAGTTCGACGCTTTCACGAATTCCTCGGGAGAAAAGGCTTCCCGCGAGGAAGAAGCGTCGTCGGCGTCGTCTTTTCCCGGCCAATAAAGATCGGCGACCGCGATTCGCCGTTCCCCCGCGGTCCCCGCGTCAGGCACACCGGCGTCATTTCGTTCGGACTCTCGAGAGTACGCTCGACCATAGGGTACGCCGCGCGACCCTTGGGAGTGGTGCGGTTGGTCGTGGGGTTGCTCGCAAATGAAAACATTATCGTCACCCCTCGCGGCTGCCTGTTGCTATAATATTTGCCTACTGGTAGACAGTGCCGTAATTCGGGCCGCACAAAGGCCGGCACTTTTGTCGTCGCATAAAGGCGAGCAAGAGTCACGGAAGTTGACGTATACACACGCACGTGTGCGATACGGAAGGAGGGAGCGAGAGCATGAGAAAGAGAGAGGGGGGAGGGGGACAGAAAGAGAAAAGGAGATAGAGCGAGATGGCGAGAGGAAGGGAGGGAGAGACGGGAGGAAGCGTTACAATTATTATGCATAGCTGCCCAGCCCGGTTCTCCCATGTCAAAATATATTTATTGCCCCCCACCTCTCACCCCGTCACCTCTCTCTTTTTTCGCCTGGTTGCGGTGTGTCAGCCACTATTGTTGCCCTTTCATACGGTTATTACCCACTTGTACGTCGTCGGAGGCCTCGGGGCCTGCGGTAAACGTGCCACCGTTTCTTTCGGGCCTGTTCAAAATGGTAGCACGCCGATTTCTCCGTCGGAGAAGAGCCTCGAATAAATTCCCGGTGGATCCTGTCGAACGGCAATTTCGAAGATTACATGGTCTATCGACTAATTTTAGGAGAAAGTCGACGAAAATCCACGGCGTTCGCGCGCGCGCGAGACCAGTCTCGAAAAGGATTGCTTTGTAGGAGAAAGCGTGGACACGTAGAATAGCTTTAAATTAGCATCGATAAGAGGACGCCTCCTAGAGCATCGACGGCGTTTAATTAACCTTAATCTGAACGGCGAGTGCAGTTTCGAAACTCGCGTTTGTATCTGTCGGCCGATCAACGGTTCGGAACCCTTCGCCGCGGTCCTTCGTACCCGAGAATCGTCGGTCCTCATTTGCATATTAACCCTCCGCGGGGCCCGCTCGAGGATCTGACTTAACGCCTTTCTGCCGTTCCACCCCTCGGCGGGCCCCGAAATCGTAAAAGTCCCGGCAAATACGCGTATTATCTCGGCTTTTTGCGGTGCCTGGCGGGAAACGGAAGCGTCGGTTGAGCGGCCCCTGCAATCGCGGGCCAGTCGGGCCCCCGGGTCACGCCGGGTCGGGACCTGTTCCACGACCGAGTTCCAATCGACGTCCGCGAAAAACGGTGCTCGAGGATACGCCGGCTTTTCCAGCGAGACTTTATCTCGATGCAACGTCCCGACAGACATGCATTTAACGGTACACGGGCCCCCGAACCCGTTACTTTTCTAATCTGCGGCCGATGCCAGCCGCTTCGGGACTCGATCGGACGCGAAATACAAGGAACCACACTCTCCCGTGCTTCCTTCCGCTCGCGGTTTCCGGAGAAACTGCATTGCTTTCAACTTTGTTGTCCGCGACATGCTTCGTCGATCAAAGCTTTAAGCACGCCCTTTTTATGGAAATCGCTGTAGTGTGTTTACTCTTCGATAGTTGCACCTTTTGCAAGATCGTTATCACTTCCTTGGAAACATTTTCAATTATTAACGGTCTGAGATGTTTTATACAAATTTGTACTTTTTCAAGCTGCTTTGTAAAGAGATAGATGAAAAACTTCTTTCAATTGGGGATAACATGAGTGCATTATGTTTGGAGTCTATTCATGGTCATCGTTTGGCAGTTATTATTTGACACATCGATTCATATTTTAAACAAGATCAAACGATTAAATGCATCGTCTTCGCTGTCAATTTCTACCGATAGTACAATAACATCGCAAGAATATTTTATCATTTTATATAGCAATCGCTCTATCGAGAAACAACTTCTGTGTTTCGTTTCAATCCCGAAGCATGCGATTTTGCTTTTCTCCGTGCTGTTTACCGAGAATCGAGCTGATAAAAAGTATTCGATGCACCGTCAGCGTACTGTGCGAGCAGCATGGCAATTATCATTCTGGAGGAGAATATTCGCTTCGTCTTCGGTACAAGAAACGAGGAATTAACGTCGCAAGAGTTAGAATTTCCATCTACTTGACCCCGCGCCTTATGATTTGTTTGGTAATCACGTTCACGCTGGATTGTTAATAAATTTTCCTGCGGGACAGAAATCGAGTGAACAATTCAGGTTCATCGCTGTGCAATCCTGAGACCGATTTTCACGATTACGCGAGCTCGATCTAAAATTTCCGACGAAACTCGACATTGCAACGAGTGGTTGAAAAGACTAATCAACTTTGTTCTTTCTCGAACATCTATTCGGACTCTGACAAAAGTGAAAAGCGAGATACCAATTAGCTACTTCAACGCTGTCAACTCGTTTTCAAGAAAATTAGGAAATAATAATAAACATCTACGTTCACTATTTCGAAGGACGTTGCACAGTGGACATTTATTTGAAGTAGCAGTGCGAATTCGGGTGAATCAATAAAGTGTCATATTTCATTATTAAAATGTCACAGAATATTATCATCGCAGAATATTACTGCTAATTTATTACGTCCGACGCGCAGCAAAAGTTTCGTGTGGGATCATATAACACGATAGTTGTAAATAGATTTCTGGATTTAGAAACGTTCCCTAATCCGTTTTTACGATTTCGGAAACCCGAAGAAAATACCCGATACAGTTTTAACCCGAAACTTCAGGTACCGGGCCACCTCCATAAACTAATTACTTTATTTCCTCAAGAATTCGACTACAAGTTCGACCAAGTAATCGTTTCCGGGAAACACCGAAGTGTTAATTCTCCTTGCGACTCGAACGAGATCACGGATGAGATTAACGGCCGATACAGTCGGAAAAGGATTCCGCTTTCTTACGATATTATAAATCGACGGTGCGGCTTGTTTAATCGTTGTTTAAACGGAGATTAAATCACGCGACGGCCAGAACGCCGCGAGCTGGCCGCGCCGGCGGGGAACGGCGCGGCGGCCGCATAAAATCCGCGCGCGGCACCGTCGAATTGTAAATCACCGGAACGCGTAATTAAAGCGGAATTAACGACGCTGAATTATTGGAACAGGGCAATTTATTCGCGGCATAAAACTCGATCGCCGGGTATTTCCCAAATCGCGACTCGCGTCTAGGCAATCGTCCGAGACGTCTTTGCGGAGAGTTGCGATGTTAACCCTTGCCGCCGTTAAAAGTCGTTTGAGAAACCCACTTTTTGCGAACGATGCGCTCGTAATCCAGTGAATAGTTATTAGTGTTTTGTGACAGTGAACGCCGCAAACGAGGCCGCGACGCGTTCGCCACCGTACTACCGATCGCGCAAAAACGCTTGTCGTTCTAGATTACATGTAATTTATGACCAGATGCTCGATATTGTTCGGTTTTATTTTCGCGTTACCGGCGGGACAATAATAAAACTTTGAACCGGTGCGAACTGCGAGTCGGAAACACGAGATGCAACAACTACGCGTGTCCCTCGCGGACCTCTCGCAGGTTCTTACGAGACGCGAGCGGAGTTGGACGCGTGTCCGGTTGCGTAGATCTCGGAAAGTTCTCTTCTCGCGAGTTCGCGACACCGACAGTGGATCTCTGCTTTCCTCAATGGATGCCACACAAGCGATGCCACTGCTCCCCTAAACGTTCGCGGGCACAACGAATCCTGCGCGGCGGATTCCCACAAGTGGCAAGGGTTGTTGCCGTTGCGCGTTCTCGATTAACCTGGAGTGGCTGAGGAAAATGGTGCGTGCATAGGGGAGGGGGGGGGGGATCGTCACAGTTAAAAATTGGATCGGTCACGGGCCGAGGAGACGAACAATGCGCCGGGAGATCGGTCGGTCGCTTCTCGAGAGACGATCGCGCGCATGGGTCAGGTGGTGCCGCGTGTGTGCGTGCGCGTCTCTGCGTGTACGTGCGCGTGTGAAGGCGCGGCGAGAAACCCGGTTCGCCTTCGTGGGGCTAAACTGTCGCGATAAATGATCCTGCGGAGGGTTATTAATTGTCTTTGACTCCCAACCGGGCGCTTTGTGGATCGCGAAAACATATTAACCGAAAAGGAGCTGCCGTCCTCTCTACCNGGGTGGGGGGGGGGGGGGGGGGGGGGGGGGAGGGGGGGGGGGGGGGGGGGGGGGGGGGGGGGATCGTCACAGTTAAAAATTGGATCGGTCACGGGCCGAGGAGACGAACAATGCGCCGGGAGATCGGTC